GGAGTTCGGCGCGATGGCCAACATCATCGGAAACCTCGCGAGGACGCCGCGCTTGAGCTCGGCGAATGCCGCGGGGTCCGCCAAATCGTCCGTGGTGGAATCGCGAGCGGCCGGGGCCGCGTGGTAGGTCAGCTTCAACGTCCCAGTCAGGGTGTAGACCACGGCGTGGGCGTCCGCCGGGGCGCGGAAGACCGGGGGCAGGTGATTTGCAAAGACGATGCGCCGCGCGGCGAGCCGCGCGCGCGCGGGTTTCTCGCGCTGGGAGGAATAAACCGCCCTGAGAAGGGCCGCCAGCTGAGGCGCCATCGCCGCCGGGGAAGGCGGCGCGCGGAGGTCCGGGGCGGGGGTGTTGGGCCGTCCTTCGGCGGCCTCCGCCACGCGCGCCGCGATGAGGGTGCGCGGCCAACAACACCGCGCGTGGGGGGGGTAGACATCGACGATGGTGTCGACATTCTCGACCTCAAGTCCCCACGGGGCGCCCGCGGCGGGGCCGGCCGAGAAATCGCAGCGAAGGTCCCAGGGAATGGGAGGGGCGTAGGGGATCCCCATAAAGTCCTCCATGGACGGAACCGCAACCTCAACTCGCTCACACACGACAATAATAATAATAATAATAATAAAAGAAGGGAGTGGATCGGTGAAGGAAGGACTGTGCAATAAAATGAATAGCGTTTTCTATTTTGACTTCGGTGCTGTGAATCCTAATTGGGAAAAGGCCTTAGGGATGGTCATGTTAACTAACGTTCTATAATAAGAAAAAAAATCCTTTACGCAAAGAAAGATAAAAAAGGAGAAAGCGTGAAACTCGAATTGGTGGGGTGTTGCGGCACCATAGTCCGCTTTCGGCCCTTGGGTTGTAAATTACCGAAAGGCTAAAATAGATCCGTGATATTTTATAGTTTGCCGTAGTTATCCATCGGATTATAGAGACCAAAAAAATGTCGAAAATCAGTCTTCATCCTTGATCTTCAGATGTATAAATATTTACTCGAACATATGTCAGATTTCATGCAAATATATATAGATCGTTAAATTTACTTTTCGAGAGAGATTCAAGAGAAAAGATGCAGGGCAGGAAAGGCATTTGTTCATCGGCAGAAATTATGTCCGAGTACTATCAACCGCTTTGTTTTAGACTATTTTTTGAGATAAATTTCCCAAAAAATCCTCTTTTAGTAATAAACTAGCGAAAGAATGAGATAGTCGTGAACGATAAAATCTTAAAATACTGTTAAGTTTGCACCTTTATACCCATAAAGTTGGGATACTTTTTCATTAAACGTCAAATAAACTCCCCTTCTCTCTCGTTATTTTTAATTAAACATCATTTAGAGAAAAATAAGAGTTCTAGAACGGGTATTATTAAACTAGACGTAACTTGCATCTGAAAGGACTCGACTTCAAATCTGATCCACACCACACTAATGATGTGGTGGTTATTTACTTTTACTTTAGTGTGTTTGTTTTTGTCTCCCCCCCTCCCTCCCCCTCCCCCACCTTTGTTTTCCTTTTTTCGTCCGCCCTCTCCCAGACTCACCCGCACCCATCTCCTGCTTGGTTCGGCGTCGAGCCAAACCTTCTATTACATCTTCCAACTTGCCTAAAGAACGCATCCGAGAAGCGATTTCATAATTCGCCCACTTCTATATTGGGGAAAATCAACAAGAAGGCCTCACGGACCGCCGTCGTGTCGACTTCAGGGAGCTCATCGGCCACCTCTTGGAGCATCACCGGCACCTCCTTTTCGACGATACTCGGCGCGAAAACCCCCGAGCGCATAAACTCCACGGTGCCGTCGACCGATCCGTAGGCGTCCGTCCCCATTGGGAGCTTTTTCGCCAGATCCTCAAGGGCCGCCAAGAGGGGGGAAAAGCGTTCGACGGCCTCTTCTTCATGCCGCGCCGCCTGGCGACGTCGCGCCTGGGCGGCCGCGTCGCTTTCGCGTTCGCGTTTGTGGTGCATCGCCGCGAGCAGCGC